GACATTGAAGGCGGAAACTATATCAAAACTTCAGGCTTTTGAGCTATGGTTATACAGAAGAATCCTGAAGATACCATGGACAGACGGATGACACAACCGCGGATTTAGTCAACATCGTGAAGGGACCTAGCTGGAGTATTTGGGACATATAACGAGAAATCAAGACAGATACGAGCTACTCCAATGCATTTTGCAAGGTAAAATTGAAGGAAAAAGAGCCCCAGGATAAAGAAGAATATCCTGGCTTCTAACCTGAGAGCATGGTATATAAAGACCTCAACACAGCTATTCCGTATAGCAACTAACAAAATCATCATAGCCAGAATGATCGCCAACGTTCGGAATGGACAGGCACCCTAAGAAGAAGAATCTCTACCGGACATCTGCCACAGGCTAGAAAGAATCTTAAATTATAAGATACACTTGTCCTTACGTCTAATATTTTTAGTTATAGAACCAACTTTCGGCGTTTTAAGGTAACACCATTACATGCGAATATAACTATCTTATCTCCTTAATTGTCTTAAATCTCTAGGTTACACAGGATTTAAAAACTCACAAACACAATATACGATTATAAATAAATACAATCTCCAAAGCTTTGATAATCTTTTGTAAACACCGAAATCATGTATAGAATTGAAAGAGATAACTACTAACAAGATTCCGTATTATATATTATTATAATACATAAATACACTATTTTTAGTTATTTAAATATATGTTTATAAGAAACGAAGTGTTCTGACGAAGCTAAAAATCTAGAAATAACATTGGTAATAGATTCATATTTCCTTCAAATATGGAACAAACCATTTGTTGAGCAAATTTAGTACATCACTTATAATTATAATATACTAAATATAATCAAAACGAAATATACAGGAAAAGATGCAAACAATTAGGATTGTGGAGATGGAAACACAAAGGGGGCAACAGAAAGCAACAAAGAAAAATAAAAGATCAAGCTATAGATATATCATACTAGTGATTTTTTCCCGTCGCATGCGGAAGGTCCAATTAATTATCTCTTTTGTCTTAAAAACCCGTACCAGGTTCAACGACCCAGGCTAGGGATGGCTGACGTATGTTTAATTCAGGGTAGAGGTGTACATCCATTCGAATTCCATCTGGGTGGAAATTTTCGTTTATTAAAAAAATTAATAAATGAAAATAATTTCTATCCTTGTGTGATCGGTACACACCAGAGGGACCGCAGACGTTCGGATACAATTAGCGTCTCTTAGCAAAGACAATGACGTCGACTTTGCTAAGTATCAAGACAATTACTCTACACACACAAACACACACACAAACACACACACACACACACACACACACACCACACACACACACACACACACACACACACACACAACACACACACACACACACTACATTAATACACTTATCTTGATTGAGACTGGCTGAATGACAATTGTCCAAGCCAAAACACAAAAAAAAAGTGTACATCCGGGCCCATTTCCCCATGGAAGGAGGTCCTGCAAACGGATGTCTTCCTGTTATCCTGTCCACCAACTAAAACCACCCTCCTACTAGTGCCCACTTGACTGTCGCGCGTATCGTAGTCTGAAAATGGGATGGCCGCTATAAGGCTGACGACACCATCAATTAGTTCCCAGCTACAGTCACTCATAAGATTTAGAAATTTCGTTTTAAAAACGTTGCGCAATTTTAGTCATTTTTTATGATTCTCACGAGATCAATCAAAATTATGACTTTCATTGACCGGTAGCTATGGAATTTTCATTGTTAGGACCTAATCTTCAAAATATATAACATGAAATTTCGATTTTGAGTTTATGTAACAAATATGACGCATGTGAAATATGCCTAAAAACGCTGAATTTAAACTTTTACATTACAAACGATCTCACGTCACAGGAAATCGGAAATTATGCAATCGAAAAGAAGTAGTTGTAAACATTTTATATGAACTATAAAGCCGCTACGATAGTACTCGAGCGGAGCGCATTGTTACATGTTTTCGAAGGTCTCCCTTGAAGGTCTAACACTGGCCTCCATGAAGCGACTATATGCAATCAATAGAAGAAATATCGAAAGAAAAAATATCGAAATATATAATCGAAAGTTGTATATGTTTGGTGAAAAATAATAAAATCGTTATATTTGTCTTATACGTCAAATAAAACGTTTAAAACTGCTTCTTTTAATTGCAGAACTACGTGTTTCAAAACTATACAGTGCTAGTCAAAAGTCCGTTCCCCCCTCGTATCTTTTGAACGGTTATACTATTATAGTGAAATTTGGAGGGAGGTAATAAACAAACGTAGGCTTCTTAACTAGTCATAACAAGTGACGTAATAGTGACAGATGACGTTACAGCGCCACTGTGACAGATAATTTTAAATAGGATATTATGGCAAGTGATACCTCGTTTGAAAGACATTGAAAACACCTATTCAGCCATACTAATTTTATTTGAGTTTAAGTTTATTTTGATGAATAAATTATATAAATACTAAAATTGTTTTTTCGCATTTAATTAATAAATATTAAAACCTCCGCCTCTGGTTACTTGCCAAAAAGCAGGGTATACCGAAAACTAGAGGAGAAAAAAGAAGTTGATGTTATGACTTATTTTTTCATTAAAATATCGATTGTCCAATCAAATCATAAATAGCTCCCCACATTAGCGATATACAGGGCGATTATTGAAAAATGTTGAAAGCGACAGAGTTATAAAATATATCTTCTTCATTAACAAAAATTTTAAAAAACTTTATTCGAACTTTTGATAGATATATTATGAAAGGGCTCAGTGGCGTACAAAATTGCTTTTGGATGTCACATTAAAGAAATATAATTCCAAATTATGTTTTTTTATATGGGACACTCTATAAATTTTGACGTTTTTCGTTTACATTTTTAATTCTCTTTCACCAGATATGACATATTAACGGGATGGAAAAGAACTCCGAAAAGGGCATCGAGTTAGAATCTATGGAGAAGCTATGAGCATAACGTGTGTATTAAAAACGGCGTAGGTAGGTGTGGCTAACGATAATACCAATATGGCGGTAAGATCATGACCGGACTCAATAATATTAAAACTACTATAAAAATATGGCTAGTTATTTAGAAGATTTAATCATAATCTAAAAAGTGCAATACATTTTTAATAAACTATGATTTATTTATCCCGCGGTAAACACTAAAAACGCGATATATTATACATAACGATAAATTAATACAGTCAAATACTATTAATTTATTCTCTGAAGTACGGGCCATTACTTTGTTTACATATTTGTATACTTACCTGTACAACGTTATTCCTGAAGATTTTTTATTAGCATTGCTTCTGCTACTGCAACTACGTTGAGAATAAGAAACTATTATTATGCACTATCACAATATATCATTACAGTTTCTATAAAAGTATTATAAAAACTTAATATATTCGAAAAACAACAAACGTAAATAAACTTATACTGTCAAAAGTGTCAAAACAATATTAAACAATAGTATTAACAATATGCCTCCTAGCACATACAAAACAGGACATGCAACTCCAAGTAAACAAAGTACAAGAAGAATCAAAGAAGGTTGGTCTAGAAATAAACACCAACAAAACCAAAGAAATGCGATTTGGTACCAGAAACAACCAACCTATTATGATCAACGACCAGAAAATTGAGAGAGTAGCGGAATTTGTATATCTGGGCAGCATAATTGACTGTAATGGGGGTACAGAGCGTGATGTACATGAAAGAATAAATAAGGCTCGCAACGCCTACAACATGCTTAACAACATATGGAAATCCAGGATTTTCCCAACTAAAAACGAAATTAAAAATCTTCAACACAAATGTAAAAGCTGTATTACTGTATGGCTGCGAAACTTGGAAGATATCAGCACCCATAGTACACCAATTACAAGTTTTCATCAATAGAGCGTTACGAAAAATCCTTCGTATATTTTGGCCTAACCGAATCTCCAATGAAAATTTATGGAACCAAAGCAACCAAGAAAATGTCATAAAGCAAATAAGGCGAAGAAAATGGAGATGGCTGGGCCACACACTCCGTAGACCGCCAAATGACATTGCCAGGACAGCGCTGGATTGGAATCCCCAAGGCCGACGGAAAGTAGGCAGACCTAAGGGAACTTGGAGAAGGACAGTACTGGACGAAGGGAGAAAAATGGGAAAATCCTGGCTTGAAATCAAAGCACTAGCCAGAAATAGAGTTCGCTGGAGACACTTTGTGGAAGCCCTATGTTCCTCTTAGGAATCTTGAGACTATATATATATATATATATATATATATATATATATATATATATATATATATTATATATTATATATATATATATATATATTAACAATATGGCCGAAGTGAGGTCGTTTTTAGTCATGTGATGCCCTCTCCATAGATTCTAACTCGATGAAAAAGGGTAATAATATATTTCTATCATGTCAAATTACCTTCAATTTGAAGTTAATAGAACTGTACGTATTAAAATAAAAATTGCATTTAGAATAACAACTTCTAATAAAGAACTAAGTAAAAAAACTTTAAAAGTACGAAGAAAAAATATCTTTTCGGATAAGTACAGAATAAAAAAGTAGTTAACGCTGTTGTATAAAACGTTAAATAAAACTTTTGGTAATTTTTTACACAAATTGCGAACTTAGTTATTGGAGAATTGTCCCATTATTATTCTTGCTAATGTACTTGTAAAATAAATACTTTACATTGTTTTAAAGTACGTCATTTTCATTTATTTACAACTTGATTATGATTTTGACTTCTTTATATATTAATATTAAGTAATAAATTAGTAGAACTATTCAGGGCTGCTACAAATAAGATTAAATGGGCAAATGTAATGGCCAACGCCCTTAAGGATAAGGCACCGTAAGAAGAAGAATAAATTGGTAATAGTAAGAGTTTGTCTCCTTTGATTTCGTTCCCCCGAATGCCTTTACTAAATAAAATTAAATCTAACTTACCTCAGGTTTATTGTGCGTATCTACATCTAAAGGGGAGGCAAACTGACAGACCAACGTATGTTCTTTCTTGATAACTGAAATCAGAAATTAACATAGTTAGAATTAAGTAAAATTTATAAACAGGATATTTAATCTAGATTGCACAATAGACATTGTAGTCCAGTCGTCAGAGATTTGACCCCTAAAAATGACACGAAAAAGCTGAATTTTGCCCAGAATATCAATTTTGAGACCCCTAAAAAATGCAAAAAAAAGTTTTAAAAAGTGATTTAAAAAAATGTATCACTTTCATTGACCGGTGGTATAAACTGTTGGTTCTGTGTAAACGATAGAGGATAATCATTTTTTAATAAAACAGATGTTAACAAATGTTTTCCTCCAAGAACGAATTTTCCTTAGAACAAGCAATTTTGGCTCTATCGTATACGGATTTAATGATTCCCCTTTTAATATTAATATTGTGATTTGATTTGAAATATAAATATATGGTGGTATGTGTGTTGGTTTTAATAGTAATTACTTTAAAATGTCACAAGATAACAGCTTCAGAACAATAAGTAGAAAAAAAATGTTTCAAATAAAAAAGTAGCTGAGATAGTTTTAAACAAAAATATTTATAAGCATTTTTTGTGTAGCATAAACCGTTCTCTTAGAAACAACGCTTAAAACTACCGTCGATTTTGTATGTCAGTTACGCGCGCGAAATCAATGTTCAATAAAATTTGTATCAGCGGGACGGTAAAAATTCAATATCTTTTGATCCAAATGACCTATCGACAAAAATCAAGATGCGTTTTAAAGGCAAAAGTGCAGCTTTTATATATAGCCTTTGTATTTTACCGAGAATAAACTCAGTTTTTATAAAGGTTTCAGTGGCATTTTCATCTCTGACGACTGGAGTATACAAATATGACGCATTTGAAATATAACTAAAAAACGCAGAATTTAAACTTATATATTACAAACGATCGCATGTCACAGGAAATGCCTCCAAGAAGACGGTTTTGGATGCAATGAGTTGGGTACTTTTAACAAACGCACTAGTGCAACAGCAGTTTTAAACGTTTTGGATTGTTTGTAATGTGAAAGTTTAAATTCAGCGTTTTTTAAAAGAACCTCACATTTATTGTTGCCAAAACTCAAAACTAGAATTTCATGCTATAAGTTTTGAAGATTAGGCTCTAGTAATAGAAACTCCATAGTGCCGGTCAATGAAAGTGATCAATTGTATTTATCTTATAAGAATAACAAAAAAATGGCAAAAATTGCCACTTTAATTGCCACAATTTATATATTTCACACCTTTATAAAAACTGAGCTCATTTGCGGCAAAATACAAAAATTGCATACGAAAGCTGCACTCTTTACATCTAAAATGCATCTTTATTTTTTGTTGATAGGACACTCTGATCAAAAGATATCGAATTTTTACCGTCGAGCTGATACAAATTTTATTGAACATTTCGCGAGTGTAACTGACATTCAAATTACAGATCGCTTTAAAGCTTGTCGCTCACTTATGCACTGCAACGCGAAGCGCGCCGAACAGAATTTCTTCGCCTAGGATTTTACGGTTGCGATCTGTGTCCCTTCTGTTCGCTGTTCAGCGCGTTGCTTCGCACAGATACGCGCGAGTATATTTAACCACATGAAGAAAATTCATAACAACCTTTTTCTCCGCGCTTCGCTTCGCGTTGGAGTGCATAAGTGAGCGACAAGCTTTAAACGCTGTTCTGAAAGAACGGATCATTCTACACAAAAAAGTGCTAATAAACATTTTTGTTTGAAATTATATCAGCTACATTTTTTATTTATAACATTTTTTTCTACGGTGTACAGATTCTTGGTAAATCGATTTTTTTTTGGATTTTTGCCCTCCTACGAGAGGGTTTTTAGGGATAACCCCGGGGGTAAAAGTGGTAAACTTTTTTTGCATCTTTCTTGGGGCCCCGATATTGATATTCTCGGCAAAATTCAGCTTTTTCGTATGATAACCGAGAAATACTATCAACATTCCTGGACGACTTAAATGACGACAGTAAAATTCTCCTGTTAGTAAAACTGAAGAAAAAAAAAACAGAAAAACCTCATGATACTATCGCGATATCGTAAGTATTTAATTATAGTACATTTTAATTAATTTTAAACGGTAGTCCATTTTCAAAAGGTAAAAAAGGACCGTATAATATTAGTTGCCCCGCTACATATCTGTCCTCAAAATATTTTCAACAAACTTATCAGTAATTAAAATGACGATGTTCGTGCGATGAGATTGTTTTATGTCAAATAAAATATAACGAAGTGCCGATAAAACGTTTAATAAAAATAATTGTTTGTAAATGGTTATGGTTTATGTAAGTTTTTTTACTACAATAATTACTTTTACTAACAATGATTGTTAATTGTTAATAACTAGCTTTCGTGTATAATATTCGCGTTGTTGAATTGACAGTGTGCAAAATTAAATAGTTAATAACTGTTAATTTTCTGATCTTTTCTCAAAGAAATAATTCTATATTGAAATCCGTTGAAATGGATTGCCGGAGTGATGACGTAGATATTATTGACATCTGTCAGGTTCACTTTCCAAACAAACCTTGTTTAGGGTGGATAATTTGTATTTTTCTTTATTTTTTCATTTTTTCACGGAATCTTTCCGTTTTTTGGAATATCTAAGTATTCTAATAGTTACTAAAACAATTTTACAAGGTTGTGTAAATAATAAAACATGTTGTTTTATAAAAATAGCAATAAAATGCATATATCAATTAAGTAAGGTTAGAATTTCTTTAATTTAAACTTTTAAATTATATTTCGTAGAAATAGAACACTGAATTATGATGGTATTATCGTAAAAAACACTATACTTAAAAGAGAAAGCAGCAGAGGAAGCAAAATGTCAACTTTATAGAAATTAAAAAGTCTTGAGATTCAACTTTTGTTTGGAAAGTAATAACAACAATATGGCTGCCGTGACGTCACACTCCGGATATCCATTAGGAATACTTCTATTTCTTCTTTTTCGTCATGCTATCATTGCTATCTTCATGGCAATTCGTTTGGCTTTTTCAGTATGGGTATTATTGCTGTTAATTATTTCGGTATTATACTTGATTTGTAAATGCTGTTAAATAGCTCCACAAGCTTTATTAAGTTCTTATCATATGAGTTTAATTAATTCTATTGGGAATTCATCTCGGCGTGCAGCTTTCCCTGTCCTAATTTCTTTAATCGCGTGTTCTACTTCATCTCCTGTTATTCCTTGTCCTGTCTCACTGTTTGTGTATTCATTATCTACATTTTTGCGTTGATCGTTAAACAGTTGTTCTGTGCAGACTTTTTAGAAGTCAAAGCTCAAGTTTTTTGAGTTCAAGATTTCCATCAAGCTCAAATACATTAAATAAATACTCAAAATGAACAGAAAATCGCTGGAATACGATATGAAATTATTAAAAATGTTTCCAAAAAATGAATATATAATAGATACTTACACTGTAGATGCCAACACCTCCATATAACATTGTTCAATCGTATTTTGTCTTTCCATCTAAGTCTTATACCTCTGAATCTGTTCCACTTGGGAGACGTTAATTTTTGTCTGCAATAGAAAATATACATTAATAGGAAAGTATAATTGCAATGCTCCAGATAGTGAATAATTTATGGTTAAGGTAAATCACAATCAAATAAATGAAGTATGTGTTTTTCAGGGCAAGCCGAAGGAGAGGGAATCTGTTTGAGGACCTGAAAAACGCCACTTTCTGGTCTTATAACGTAAACTACTATTTCAAATACCTCACCAGAAATAATAAAAATGAATTGTTTTCACGCTTTATTTATTTATTTATTTAGTGTATGGCACAAATTTAAAAAAATGCTCTAAATTTGTCCCGCATTATTGCAGCGTCCGCTGCTTTGATCAATCCTCCCAGCTTCATGTTTGTGTTAAATCGATCACATCTGTTCTTGCCACGGAGTTCTCTTCACTACCAATTACACGTACATACCACATTGGTAGATTTTCTCGCATTTTGTCCTAAATAAACTACAAACTTTACATGAAAATAAAAATATTACAAATAAAATAAATATGTTTAATAAACGTGGATGACGAGACTATGTATGTTTATCTGTTTATTTCTCCATTGGTTGTTTCAAAGAAGTCACCCCATGGTCCTGGATGTGCCTGGAGAGGGTATTCAGAGTGTTGTATGGTTTGTCTTTCATGATCGCAGTCACAATCTGGATACTAAATCTTGCCCCATATCCCACTTTGCTAGGATGTCAGCACTCTGTACCTTTCAGTATGGGTTCTGTTTAATGTCACCCATGTCTTACGATTAAAATTAAATCCTGGAACCAGTTGACCACGATGGAGAACTATATAAACGTGTTGTTATGTGATTTGTTCCCATATATTTTTCTTCTCCTTATTCTTCTTCTTCCTTCTTGTATGTAGGTTTTAAAGCCTGTTTCTTCTTCAATATTATCCTCCTAAATTGTTTAAATTGTCGTAATTGTCGTCTTATGTTTTCGCTTCTCTCCCTATCCAACAGACTTTTCCTTGATATTAGTCGGAGTATTTTCATCTCTGTTGTTTCTATTTTTTGTGTCTTGTCTTGGGTGTTTGTTCTTCCAGATTGTGTCATTAAGAGATCTCACCGTTTTACTTGCTTTTAAGCTTTGTTGTCGTACTTCTTCAACATCTCCGTAACTAGGTATATCTATTCCCAGATATCTACACCTTGCTTCCTGCTTTATTATCTTCCCATCAATTTCGATTTTACATCATAGTGGGTATTTAGATGTCATACATTTGGTTTTTTCTACTGATATAATATTGTCTTTCTTGACTGTTGTATTAAAGATGTGTGTTAATCTTTGGAGTTCGACTTTTGTCTCGGCAATTAATGCGGCGTCGTCTGCATAACATAATATTTGCATTTCTTTGCTCTCCATTCTGTAGCCATGACCTTTACGTACTGCTTGTATTATTTCGTCCATTATTATATTAAAGAGAAGTAGGCTTAACGAACATAGATGTATTTGAGATGAACTGCTGGAGACGAATGCTGAGAATACCATGGGTGGCTGGAAGAGCAAATGAATCCATACTGGACCAGCTAAACATAAAGAAAAGACTAAGAACACAAATATCAGAACAAATAATAAGCTATTTTGGACATGTGCTTCGAAGAAATGGTCTTGAAAAACTTACCATCCAGGAAAAAGTAGAAGGCAAAAGAAATAGAGGTAGATCTCCCACACGATACACGGACCATATTGTTGCTACCATTGGCGCTCCATTGTCAGAATGTGCTAGAATGGCAGAAGATAGAAAAACGTGGAGGAACATTGAAAAAATTAGCTAATAGCTTCATGATATCACGATACCTGCATCAGGTTAACGACTAAGAAGAAGAAAAAGGCTTAACGAGTCACCCTGCCTGACTCAGCTTTAAACTGGTATACACTGTGTTAGTTTTCCATTTATCTTTGCATGTATTCGATTATGGAAGTAGATGTTTTCGATGGTTTATATAATATTGGTACGTTTCTTTTATACAGTAGGTATGAGACGTCTTCGACTTGGATGCGATCGAAAGCCTATGTCAGGTCTATAAAACATAGATATGCTGGTTTATTGTACTCGATGACCTTTTCTGTCATTTGTCAGTAGAAATACGTCATCTACGCAGGATCTTCTGGATCTGAATCCTTGTTGTTCATCTGATAAAGTTGTTAGTTTATTGATTTTGTTGATTAGGACTTTTGTGATAAGCTTAAGTGCAGTGTTCAGTAAATTTATATCTCTATAATTGTTGGGGTCTTCTTTATCTCCTTTCTTACACATTGGTATCGTTATGCTGTTTCTCTATGCGTCTGGTATCTTGCAGTGCAATATTGGTTTTTTGTATACATCTTAACCGTCCATTTTTGGCCATAGGCTTCTCCCAACTCCTCTCATCGATCTCTATCCTGAGCAACATACTTCCAATCTATTTTTCTACTATTTGTTAATTTCTCAAACTCGTCTGATATTAGAGACCTGGAAGATAAACGACAGATTTCTCGATTTTAGTTTATTTCTAGTTTTTAGTAAGGTTTTTATTAATCTTCTTATGTTTTCTTATTAGCGCACTTTTTCCTTGTGCGGATATCAGGTGGGGCTATTCCTAATAGGACGGGAAACCATTATAGTAAGGTGCATCTTAACGATCTTGTTCTTATGCTCAAGTACTTCGAAGTTCTGAAGAGATCCCAAGATTCCTATAAAGAATAAACCAGGACCATCGCTGAACATAGCATAGTAGCGGCTGGATATCCCCAAGTTGACTAAAAACATCGTTAAAGGTGTCAAGGTGCTCTTGTGTCCTCATAGTTCTTTAATTGTAGGTGGCTATATAAAGAAGTGATAGGTATTTTTCTTATTAAATCCAGTCGAATATTTGTTTTACCCAGAATTCATCAGGCTGGCCTGTGAGATCCTGAGTATCTAACTCTACTTCTAATCTGTGATAATTTCGTATACTCGACATCTTGAATAGAGATTTTAGCATATCGTCGTTAGGAATGAAATACCTCCAATGTGCAAATTTCTAGTAATTCAGATTTTAAACGATTCTGAATTGCTATGAATAGTTTTACAGTCTAGAAAAATATCCAATGTGCGTACCGATTCCTAACTTCCCTAATGTATAAAAATGCATTACTCCAATGTAACATATTATTAATTGTTGGACTGAAATAAATCCAATGTGCTTAAAAAACACATTGGAGCTATTATCTATTATAATATCTGCACATTGGAGGTATTTCATACTTTCATCTGTCAAATTCCTATCCTCAAATTTTCTCAAATAAGCTATTTACCAGTGCAAAATGAGTGTTTTCAAGACAAGAACTAAAATAGTTGTACAAAATTCACTTAAGGAAGATCGGCAAAATTCTATCCAAACTTTTGCTCCTATTGAAAATGAAATTTATAATGAAAAATCCAAAAACAGGTATGTAAACAAATTCACTACTACGGTTAGATATCTTTCATCTCATTATTGCTTAAATTAAGTAGGTAATAATTATTTTTCTTATTTCAGTTTGCCTGCAGCTACTATATTGGAACAGGAAAAAGGCAAAATTTGTTTTTTGGCGATGTACAACATATTATCAGACGGAATGGCATGTCAGTTAAGGAGCGATGTAACCATATTATAACGCCAAAATGTTTAAAAGAACACTCATTTAGATGTTCTTTAATTACGCAGGACGATAGACTACGAATTTTTAAAAAAATTTGGACATTTACGTCGTGGGAACATAGAAGCACTTATGTTAAAAATCTTGTTCGGGCAAGAGCAGTGCAAAGGCGCCGAAAAGATACTCAAAATTCAGACAAACGGTCCAAAAAGAAGAGTGCTCGTGACTTTTTTTGTTTCTAAAGACGGAAGTTACCTCAAGGTATGCCGAGTTATGTTTTGAACACATTAAATTTAGGAGAAGACACAATGAAACGATGGGTCTCAAGGGAGCCAGCCACTCATGAAATTGATACTTCTAGTGAAAGTCTACAAGATTCCAACATTCAACAAGATTACTCCAAGAAAAATGAGACAAATTTGCAAAGAAAAGAATGTTATGGAATGGTTGCAAGATATTCCTAAAGTTCCTTCACACTATTGTAGAGCATCTACTAGCAGAATATATGTTGACAACAGTATCATAACAACAAATTACATGTACAGACTATATAAAGAATGGTGCGATGATAGAAAGCAGTCAGTTGCTCATATCAAGTTGTTTAAAGTTGTTTTAGAAGCAGAGAAAATTGGCATACATAATAAGCAAAGGAAAGATCAATGTGATACGTGTGTTGCACATAAAATGAAGACAATAAGTACTGAAGATTATGATCAGCACATGTCAAAGCAGAAAGAAGGAAGACGGGCAAAAGAGTTATTAAAAAGTAGCGCAAATTCTGAAAAATTGGTTCTCACAGTTGATATTCAAAGTTTCTTAACGTGTCCAAAAGTATTAGCTTTCCAATCGTATTATAAGCTCAAACTCCAAGTACACAACTTCACCATTTATTCTCTAAATGATGAAGATGTCCAGTTGTACGTTTGGCATGAAGCAAATGGTGGAGTCAGTAGCAATGAATTTACATCTTGTCTTATAGATTATATAAATAATATTCCTGCTAACTATCAAACTCTTGTATTCATCTCAGATGGATGCAACTACCAAAATCGAAAAAGAACTCTGGCTAGTGCTTTAAGTGATTCAGCAAGAGCAAAATCCCTTACAATACAGCAGTTATATCTTGAAAAAGGCCATACTATGATGGAAGCAGATTCAGTTCATTTAACTTTGGAACATTACTTTCAGACTCCAATTAATTCACCGATGGATTACATTGCTAGAATGCGTCTTGCTCGGCCAAAACATCCGTATAATATTAAAAACGTAGATTTTACGTTCTTTAAAAAGTACGCTATTGATAGTAACTTTCGTTCAATAAGACCTGGAAAAAAATGCCAAAGATCCGCAAGTTGTAGATATAAGACAATTAAAATATAGTCCCAATGGAGAGGTATACTA